CCTTCCCCTGAATCCCTTCCCCTCCCTCCCTGTCGGCCCAGCTCGGTCAGCCCCCATTGGGGAGGGCTAGTCGGACCCCACCCATGCACAGATTCATGCACCGGGCCTCTAGCATGCATTCATATATATATATGCAAAAATCATCAAAAAACATTAGCAAACTAAAAAAAAATATTAGCAAACTAAACCCAACAGCACATAAAAAGGGTTATACATCATGACTTAGTGGAATTTATCCCAGATATGCAATGTTGGCTCAACTTATAAAAATCAATTAATGTAATATACCATATTAATAAACCAAAGGGAAAAGCAAACAATATCAACTTAATTGAAACAGAAAAAGCATTTTATAAAATCCAACATCCTTTCATAAAATACTCAACAAATTCAGAATAAAAGGGAACTTCCTCCACCTGACAAAAGACATTACAAAAAATCCATAGTTTACATCAGAGTTAATGGTGAAAGAATAAAATCAATAAAATCTTTCCCCCTAAAATTAGAAGCAAGACAAATGTCTGCTCTTGGAACTCCTTTTCAACACTGTACTTGAGGTTTTAGCAAAGGCAATTAGGCAAGAAAAAGAAACATCAATGATGAGAGAGAATCATCTGTTGGCTGCCTCCCATATGACACCTACTGGGAATCTAGCCTGCGACCTGGGCATGTGCCCTGACACGGAATCGAACCGTGACCTCCTGGTTTATGGGTTTGATGCTCAACCACTGAGCACACCAGCTGGGCAAGTGCTATTATGTTTTAATTTCATTTTTAGGTTGTGTATTGCTAGTGTATAAAAATACATCTGCTTTTTGTATATTGACCTTGTATTATGCAACCTTACAAAACTTATTTGTTATCCCTAATAGTCATTTTGTGGATTTATTAGCGGTTTTCTATATGTAAGATCATATCATTAGAATATAAAGGTAGTTTTACTTCTTTCTTTCAGTTCTGGATGTCTTGTTTCTTTTTCTTGACTAATTCCTTTGCTAAAACCTCAAAATCATTAAAAAAAATATTAAAAACACACACATAATAGTACCTGAAATAATAAAATACTTAGGAATAAAATTAAGAAGATGCATACTGAAAACTATGAGACATTATTGAAAGAAATTAAAGACCTAAATAAATGGAAAGACATCCATTTTCATAGATTGGGAGACTTAATGTTGTTAACATAGCATTAATCTACACATCCAATACAATCCCTATTGAAGTCCCAGCTATCTTTTTTGCAGAAATTGATTTTGGAAAATGGTACTAAGATCAGTCAATGGGGAAAACATAGTCTTTTTCACAAATGATGCTGGGACTAGATATACACATGCAAAAGAAAAAAATTGAACTCAACCTCTCTTCATACACAAAAATTAATTGAAGTGGATCAAAGACCTGAATTTAGAAGATAAAACTATTACTCAGCTAGAAGAAAATATAGGTGTAAATCTTCATGACCTTGGATTAGGTAATGCTTTTTTATATATGACACCAAAAGCATAAGCAACCAACAAAAATACAGATACAGATAAATTAGACTTAATAAAAAATACTATCAAGAAAGGAGTGGGGAACCTATTTTTCTGCCAACAGCCATTTGGATATTTGTAACATCATTCGCTTAATATAACTCACTTAATATAAATTTATGTTGCTATGAAACAAGCTCCTAGATTTATTGAATTTTGAGTCCCGCCAGACCAAATGATTGGCAGGGCCAAACCAAATGATTTTGAGGGCGTTATATAGCCCTCTGGCCAGGTATTCCCATCCCTGGTTTAAGTTATCAAGTTTGTGATAGTTACAACAGCCATAGGAAACATAATACTAGTATAGTGTAAGAAGAATCTCTTTGCATTATTTCCTGCAAATGCATGTGACTTTACAATGATCTCAATAATAAAAAAAAAAGACTACCACATGTCAAGCAATATTTGAAGTGCTGTGGAAACAAGAGCCACTGCACTCATAGAATTTGCATACTAGGAGGAGAGACTAATAAACAAGGGAAAATGTGCTTGTGTTAAACAGTGATAAGAGCTAAAGAGAAAAAAAATAAAGAAGGGAAGAGAGATATGAAGTATCTGTGGTGGGGACAGGGAATAAATTGAAATTTTAGGATGGCAATGGAAGGCCCCATTGGGAAGACAACTTCTGAATAAAGAAAGTGACCATGCTGACAAAAGAGGGAAGAGTGTTCTAAGGAGAGGGAGGAATAATTCCTCTTATAAATCCCTGATTTTAAATCAATGCTCTCATATAAGAGGAATGGGGTGTGGTATGGTGGTGTGTGTGTGTGTGTGTGTGGGTGTGTGTGTGTGTGTGTGTGTGTGTGTTGGAAAGGTACTGTAGAACCTTTCCAACTTTCTCCTTTGCTCACTCTACTCTAGGTGTACTGGTCTAGCTGTTCCTTAAAGAGGCCAAAAATACTATTGCATCAGAGCTTTTGTTTGTTTGTTTTTTTATGGGCATTTTTAATCCTCACCGGAGGATATTTTCCCATTGATTTTTAGAGTGGAAAGGAGGGAGGGAGGCAGAGAGAGAAAGAGAGAGAAACATTGATGTGAGAGAGACGATTGGTTGCCTCCCACATGGACCCTGACCTGGGTCTAGGATAGAGCCGTAACTGAGGTACATGCCCTTGACCGGGAACTGAACCCAGGACTCTTCAGTCCATGGCCTGAAGCTCTAACCACTGAGAAACTGGCTAGGGCCTGCATGAGGGTTTTTTATTACCTACTATTCCTACTGCCTTTAACATTCTTCCCACATGGTTCACTACCTTGCTTCCTTCATGTCTCTCCTCAAATTTAATCTTGCCAATAAAGCTTCCCTGAACATCATATATGTATTAGCCACCTTCCTCCCCACTACTTTGGACCTCTTTACTCTGATTTATTTTCCTTCATAGAATTTTTCACCATTTAGTATACCATATGTTTATCAGTATACTCATTTCTATCTATTATTTTCCCAATGGAATATAAGCTGTATGAGGACCGGGACTTTGCCAATTGTGTTTACTTCTGGCTCCCTGAGTGATTAAAACAGTGTCTAGACATACAAGATGCTCTCTAAAATGTGTTCAATCAATAAATATTCATATATGTGTATTAGATCAAGCTTGTTAACTGTTCAATCATTTTACTTTAATTTTGTTTTCCTAATATATTAATTATTCAGAGAAATGTTATGGAAGATCTGGAAAATGTTTGTAATTTTGTCAATTCTTGCTTTCTAAAGAGTGAGTCTATTGTGAGTTGAGTGCAAGTTCAAAATTGTTATCTTGTTGGTTAACTGTTCTTTTTGTCATTAGCTAATTACCTTATCCAAAAGAATGCTTTTTTTGGCTTTAAGGTCTATTTTATCTAATATTACATAGTAATCCTATTCAGAGAAATAATGTACACCTTTAAAGCCAATCAGTTCCTTCTCAAATTGTATCTTATTATTTTTAACTAGAGGCCCGGTGCACAAAAATTTGTGCA